AAGGCATTCCAGCGTATTTGTGAAGGGTGTCATCGTGTTGCATGACAGTTCTTGTCGCCATGTCACGTGCCCTGTCCAAGACACACTGTGCTGGAAAGTGATGGACCTCCCCCATACTTGTGTGTGTTTGGCCTTCTCAGGAAGGCAGTAGAGGGCTGTAGACTCAGGCTGAAGACATCAAGGCTGTGGAAGTGCAAGGTGTCCTGAGTCAAGGAGATCCATTGGCTGATGTGAGCATGCACTGCCTGCCTCAGGGCCTGTGCCATTATTCCTTTGCCTTTACAAAATAAGCAACATTATATTGTCTTTGTTTATGGGTTTGAGCCAACCCTTTGTCAGACTATGCAGCTCTTTATGCTGAAGACGGTACTATAGTAATGTTCCCAGATGGTAGGCTGCATCTCCATGACAAAGCCTTGTATCAGAATGGTGCAAAAATCTTGCCCTGTAAGATCACAGATGTTTCCTCCTGGTTCAAACTGATTAATGACTCAAGAGTGGTTTTGTTTTTCATCCTTTAGTCTTCATGGTCATTTACTGTTTCATTCTTGAGCAATGTATGGATACACAAATACAAAGTGAATTCTCCCGTCTTGTATATGCTTTCTTACCATATTTTCCTGCGGGAAACAGACACTATTTCAGTAATAAGATTAATCCAGAAAGATCATTTTATTAGTAGAAAGAATTTTTGAAGTCATTCAGAATCCAACACCATCAGCATCTCTACTAAGATGAGGATGGCATGGTGTATGAATGAAAGTTCATGTCATCACCACAATATGCAGACAGGCTGTGACAGTCATCAAGTTCCCCATCCAATGAGTATCAGGGGCTCTTTCCTCAGGGTTCAAATGGTACGAGTGTAAAGCTGACCTCTGATAGGCCAAAATGCATGGAACTTCCACATTCCCTCTGTAGCTTCACAGCATGCTGCTTAGACTCGGTAGTAACTTAACCTTTTACAACATTCTTACTGTTTTTAGAAAGAGGTTTTTTATTTCTTTAATTTTGATTAATATAATCCCAGTAGTTTATTGATCTTATTTTGTATGAAATTGAGATGTTGATGCCAGAAATGTACTTGTTGGCTTTTGGATGTGTCCATTCTGTGTATCATTGTGTGTATTCACAGTAATGGTGAGTACATTGTGTTCATACTCAGCAAGAAGGTGCCTGTACTTATGTAGGAATGGCTGCTGAATGTAGTAATGTTGGTGACAGGTTTGCCTATTAATACTGCAGATGCTTGCTGATCAGTGTGGCTGGTTGGGCTGACTCTCGATAATTATTTGGTGTACATAGGATAGAAGACATATAGGACATATTGGTATTATTGAGTTGGTTCATGTAGCTTATGAATTGAAAAGAGATATTTATTATTTATTTAGACTGTGTGGATTGTCCCACATCTTATAACGAAAATCGAGACATCAGTAATTATGTGTTAGTGGGTGACCCATACAACCTTGGAAGTTACTGCCACATTAGTGTTGCTAACCAGTCTAACCAATGGCCTAACCTTATGGGCTTGTTAGAGCAAAATTCTGAGGTTAGACTTTGTGTCTGAATTTTACAAATAAACTTCCAAGGCAGACAGGCAGGTCTGAGCACACACCCCCCCCCC